TTTTCATCAGAAATTTTAACATTATTCCAAAATCCCTCTCCATAATTTAGATGGACTCTCCTGGACTTATTCTCGTCAGTTAAAAAAACCTTATGAGCAGCATCAAAGTTTTTTAAGCCAGCTGTTAAAGAGATCCTGGAAATTGTGTATCTTCTCGGACCTTAACTGCGCTATTAAAAGGATTTTGCCTAATATGTGCGACAAGAGCATTGACTTCATTTTCTTTGAAGATTTTACATACACCTTGCCTGATAATCTTTGTTGTTCTTGCCAACGTTTCTTGATATAAAATATGCAGCCTTTACTGATATTTAAATCTGCAGCCACTTCACTTAAAGACCAATTTTATTTTAATTTGGCTATTGTCCTGGACCTCTGAGCCTCAGTTAAGTGGGGTGGAATTTTTGATTTTGCAATTGACAACTATTATCAAATTTGACAACTACCGACGACACTGATGCAAAGCCCATATTACACAATTAAATTTTGTCGTTCACATTTCGGGGACGCCAATTGTACTTAAAAAAATCATATTTAATTTAATAAGATAATTATTATAATACCAAAAAAAGTGATATTTGTATAGAAAAATTATTGCAGAATCGTATACAGAAGAAAAATCGAACAAAATGAAAACATATAATTTAAAGGTGGGACTAAGATAGTACTCGTATAATTTGTAACAAGTTTAGAATATAGAATATGCAATTTTAAATGTGTTTCAGACTATAGTCTACTTTTTCTACGTTTCCAAAAAATGCCATAGAAAAACTCTTTAAGGAATAAATGTAATTCCACATTAAAAAGTGATGTTAGAACGGTCATATTCCGTAATAGGAGTAAAAAACAATTTTTTCTACTCCCACCTTTAAAACGCCCTTTATTGTACATGTTTCCATGACACTAAGTGACCTTTTAAATACACATTGACAAGTTGTGGCTTTATGGCGCTTTAGTCACGGGCTGAAGTTAGCAACAGGTTTTTAGTCACGGGCTGAAGTTAGTTTTAAGTTAGTTGACAGTTGTCAAATGTCATACAATCGTTAAAATAAAGTGCCTTTCTTGTAAAATAATACCAAATGTAAAAATTATTTTACACAAAAATACAAAAGTATTAAATAGTTTCTCAACGCCAATATTTGAAAAGTTTATATGAACATTGTACTGACCTTTTAATTTCGCCGGCAGTAAACTATAACTTAAATTCGGGCAGGGACTCCACTGTAAAGTCCTCATAAAACATTTTCTTTACTTTCACTGTGAAAAACTGTCAATTTTCAAGAAATACATTTCGATTTATGACCTTTATAATCTGTGTTTATAAAATGTAAAAAATGTGACATTTGAAGGTGACACACAGATTCCCCTATTGTTTCATAGATGGCGCTCTATACAAATTTTTGATTTAAATCATTTTAAGATAATAATAAGTATTTGTCGTAGAAAAAGTATAGTATGCACCTCGTTTATAAACTTTTCTATACACTTATTAATTTAAGCACTCGCTCGCAAGCTCGCTCGTGCCTAAATTAAATTCTTGTATAAAATGGCGTTTATCAAACTTGATACATAATATACTATTAATGTAGTCATTTAGATTTTAAAGTAAGTACTTACTCACCAAAAATAATTGTTTAACAATATAATAAACATAAATAAGTAATGGATTTTATCACTTTTATCAATTGATAAACCCTTTATATAATAATGTTCGAATACATCTATATAAAATTTAGGTTTAAAATAAGGGGTGACTTTATCCTCTATTAATACTCATAAGGGTGGTTCTAATAGGATTTTATTAACACAATAAAAACAACACATGATATTATAGGGGTGTTTCGATCAACTAAATCGAAATGAATTTCGTAACGAAACTTTCTTCCACTTGATAAATAAATGAAAATTATTTTTTAACACTTTATAATTAACACATTCGCGGACACTTCCAGATTTTAGAGGTTACTCAAAAACACACCAACTTTTGTCTGCAATTGCAGACGTCTGCTATAACAGACACGTCCTTGTATATCCCAAAATTTTATATTAAGGGACATGCGTCTGTAATTGCAGACGTTAATAAACTAAATGCCAGTTTCGATAATAAGAAGAAAATCGTAAAAAACATAAACTTTATTCAAATAAATAATAAAAAATACAACAAAATTAACTTTTAAATTCTTTTAAAACATATTTTTTAGTAAAATAAAAAGTCATCATTGGGAATGGAACTTAGTAAAACAATCACCCACACATAGTGGCGGTTTATTATCACACCCTAAGCAGCGCCAGGACGTTTGTCCCCTCTTTTTGTTTTGTGCGCAATACCGGCATCTTAAAAACCCTATTGAAAATGCCATATAGAACCATATAAAAAACACGTATCTGGATTCTATATGGTTTCTATCTGGTTCAATATAGGTATTTGAAACAGGCATTTCACTATAGAACCAGATAGAAGATTACTTTATAGAACCAGATAAAAACACTCTTAAACACTATAGAACCATATAGGGAAACCTATCTGGAAATACATATAGAACAGAAACCAGATAAATCCATATACATCCATATACATGTCTTTATAAAGACATGTATATGGTTGTATATGGATTTATCTGGTTTCTGTTCTATATGTATTTCCAGATAGGTTTCCCTATATGGTTGAATATGAAAATTTTTAAAATGGAAATCCATATTCAACCATATAGAATCCGTAATGTAAACCAGGACTTTCCATATAGGACCTATAAAACCATATAGAACCAGATACGTTTCCTTATCGGATTCAATATGGGTTCTATATGGCATTTTCAATAGGGAAGTAACTCTTCCTTGTATAGTTTTCAGGCAAAGGAATTTCTTCCAAAATATGCAAAGCTGCAACTGAAGATGAGTTTGTGTTTCGCATAGGTACCTACTTACCGAGAGTTACAATCGAAAAAAACAACTTATAATAACATTTAAAAACAACAACAAAATAAACGAAATTTACAGGGACACTTCATGATCTCTTCCATTGGCCGTTATGAAGCTACTGTCTGCTTTTGCAGACATGACGCTTTTCGTGAGAAAACAATCTGCGCGGGAACTATATATTTAACCTTAAAATGTATCACTTAGAGGGACACTTTTCTGCTAAAAAACTTGATGTACAGGGACAATATGCTTCCATTTATACGTATTTAATAGTAAATAGCGACTGCTAATGCAGACATGCGTTTTTCTGTGTTTTAAAATTTGTCTTCAATTGCAGTCGTGTCCCTACACATGTGTCTGCAATAGCAGTCGTGTCCGCGAATGTGTTAAATAAATAATAATTTTTTTTGCACACACACCTAGTTTTTTATAATGGATTCGATTTTTTTAAGTACCTCATTGAGGTACAAAATATTGTAAATTTTATTAAAATCGAACAAACATGGTTAATGTTACAAAATTATTAAAAACAGGATTTTTATGAATATGTATAATAATATTATTGTCTGGAAATAATTCATTAAAATCCTTTTTAATGAATTCTTTCCATAAGTAGGTAGTGCACAGAAAAATAAAATTTCATTTCAAGAAGAATTATTGTTTTCAAAATGTTTACATCATTCAAAACACAATAAGTTCTAATTAAGACTATATATGCTATATATGCTTTTACTTGGAGAAAAGATTACTGGGAAAATGTTATTTCTTTAAATTATTTTTTTAACTGGAACATAACGTTTTCATTTGAAATAATTTTTAACAACTTAACATAAGAATAAGAAAATGTTTGAATGAAAAGAAAACTTATTCTTGAACTGATTCAACGATTTTTTCGGGCGAAAATTTTCAACGACAAAGTGTATTTGTTCAGATAGAATATAATTTTTATTTTGAATAGTCATATGGTTTCTTTAAAATTCTCAATTTTTAAATCAAGAAAATATATTTGATTCAAGAGTATGTTTGTATGCATGCGTGTAATTAATGGTGGTGAAATTGTGGTATATTTTGTTGTCGTTGGTTTAATTGGAGATAACTTGGGTCTTCATTCTGTGTTACCAAGAATATTTTTCTGCATTTTTTTTGCAGGTTTTGCACTCTACCCAAGATAGAAAGTTTCTATAACAAACACGAAACAAACAAACAAGTTACAGAAAAAGTTTCCCTGTGAAGTATTCTAAACATTTGGAGAACAACAGCTTTATATTTTCACTGTAAAAATTAAATTGAATTTCCTATAAACCGATAGGGTTTATTTTAAGAATATCATGGTTTTACTTTAACATTGTATCTTTTCAAATTAAAAATACGATGTTTTAGTACAAAAATATGTCGATAGTTTTTTTAAAAATACTCTGCTTATTTTAAGAAAACCTAGTCTTAAATCTTAAAGTTGTAATAGCTATAGAATAAGAAGTAACAAAGTTTAACCGCAAATTTACGAATTTCAATTTAAGAATTTTAGTGATTCAACATAACATTACAATTCGAATAAATAAATTTCTTGTAAGAAAAAACCATTTATTTGTGTATATGGAAAACTAAGATTTGCTTGGAACAATAGTATTTTTTTTGTTTTAAAAATAATATTTTTTTCTGTGTGGTTGTTTCAGTGGAATTAATTTAAAAGGCTTATTGAACATAGTGATTTTGATTTTTTGAATGCAATTATGACATAAAAAGTTCTGCTTTAGGTGTCCACGGGCGTTATATGTATTAATGGTTTTCCGGGATCTGCTCCGTGTTGTCGGTTTTTGGTTCTTAAAAGAACCGTATGTCTGACGACGTTTCGGTACAATTTTATGTACCATCTTCAGGTCTTATCTGCTGGGCTGCTGTTGCTTCTCCGCTGCGAGTTACACGTGGAGCACGTGGAGACGTTGTTATTTTATAGATATTGCTGATAAATTAGATATAATTGGCAGTCAAAAAAACATGCAATTAAAAACAAACCATTTATAGTTATTTTGCTTATTAAAATTCTTTTAAATCTACTAGTTAAAAAGTTTTGCATTCTATATTTTTTATATTTCTACAGTTTTAAATATAAAAGCACCAAAATTTATTGTATGAAAACAGAAGTCATAACATTTACCTATAATGTATTTTAAATACTGTTTGTGTGTGATTGCAGTCGTTTTACTTATTGGTAAGTAAATATTTTAGAGACATATATTTTTTTACAAAATATATAATTTTTAGACTTGCCTTCATGTCACGCAGATTATGACAAACTCAAAGAACTCGGGTAAGAATATGTAAAAAGAATCTAAACGAATAACACTATTTTTTATTAAAAACTCCCTGTGGACAGCAATAAGCTCTTTGAACTTAACTTGGATAGATCGTTTAATTTGTCCAACATATTTCTTGTCACAATCTTGACAGTTTATTTCATAGATCCCCGACTTTTCAATTTTCGGAATCTTATCTTTGCTCTGTTAAAAATGTTTGTAAAATTACTACATTTTTACTAAGCAGGTGCATAGTAAAATTACAAAATGTTGTATTTGTTGTAATATTACATTTTTTTATAGCCAAAGTACTAAACAGGTTCCATTTTACAATGTTTTTGTTTTTGTCAGATACTTATAGTAATTTTACAATTCTTATTTGTAGAATTGAGTTTAAAATTTTCCAAAATTTCTATACATATTCGAAATTTAATTTTACTTAGATAATCAATAAAATTACTAACCAAAATTTGCTATTTGAATTACAATAAGTGTTTGGAAATATACAAATCATTATTTATTTTATACAACTTCTGTTTGCATATTTACTATATATCATTTTAATCATGTACACTATTAAAATTTTTTGTATAATTACAATTATTTTGCAAAACAAAGGATAAGTAAAATAGCAAATCAGTGTATACCAATACAAAATTATAATACAATTTGAGAAATCTTCCAAGACATGTTGGGAAATCTACTAAGATAAGTTGTAATTTTACAATCTATATGTATAAATCCTACACGCATTATAATTTTACTAAACAGCATCTCAGATTTACATTAACTAAAAATTTACTATAATGTTATGTAAAATACATAGTATGTAGTACCGATTGCGGCAATCACGTGATGTTCTTACATCTCGCCTTGGTTGACTTAGGTGGACAGTATAAAAGCTCAGGTGTCTTTCGTTTTTGGTGTGTTCCAATACACCAAATTGCCCGACATTGATAAGACCCAAAATAGGTATATCTGCCTAGCTGGTTCAATTTTTTTTAAATCTTTACAGTAATGGGTCAAAAAAGTTTCTTGAAGAAACTAAGAAAATTGCAGTTTTTTTTCGGAGTATAATTAAAATACCTTCATTGGTAGCTAAATTATAATTATAATTATTATTATAGTATACTAAATATTTCTAGTGTACTTAATATGTTGTACAAAATAACAATATTTGTATTGTAATATTGCGAAACGAATTTTGTTTAGTTAAGTAAAATTGTAAAATATATTTTGTAATTTTTTTAAAATTACTAAACATATTTAGTATTTTTTAGCAAAATTACAATACCTGTGTAGTAATGTTACTGAACAAATTTTTTATAAATGCTTAGTGAATTTCAACAAACTTTTTGTAATTTTTCCAAATTGAGTTGTAATGAATAGTGTAGTGAATTTACAAAACTAAGTTTTATTATTACTATATTGTGGTGCGTAAAAACTTCCTAAACATGTTTAGTAAAATTACAATAGGAATTTTTAACATCAATCCCATTGGGTTGCCTAAAAGCAATTTTTTTGAATTTTTTGAAAAGTCCTTTAGCTTTGTTATACATCAAAAATCTACTTGGACGGTGTCCATTTTAGTTGTTTTTTCCCAACTATAATTTTATGTCGCATGTAATTTTTCGAATTATTTTAGATATCTCTGGCGTACTTTAACTGCATCGTCCAAGGCTTATCATGCGAATGAACTTACGAAAGACCAAATAAATGCAGCAAACGATGAATGCGGACCTGCACATTTAACAAGCGGAGACGCATCTATAGAAAAAATGCGTAAATACCTGTTAGACTCTCCACCAAAAGAAAATTTTTTAAGTTCTATGGAAGAAATTTTTTCTCACTGGTGGCGGTATCATTTGCCAAGCATACACAACTATAGTCACTGTATGGGCAATCTTTTGAAATTAACCGTTTGGTATCAACCATATGTATAATTGATGAAACTCCATATTATTAATCTATGAATAAAAAAAGTTTCATTTTATTTAACTGTTTTTTTTTTATTTAACAATTTTTATTAAGTTAATAAAATTTTGTACTTACCCCAGTAGCACAAAGATGTTGGTCCAATATTGAAACCCAACATTGGCCTGAAGTTGTTTTACATTATATTCTAGGAAAGTTGAGGGAGAAATTGAAAAAAAAAAAGATAGCCACCTAGTACTTACTACGATGTAGAATTTCTAAAAGTGATATGTCACGATCGTGTCGACAAACGTTTGTTTGTAAATGTTTATAGTAGTTACTTAGGGGCGTAGAAGCGGTATGATAAGGGGGAGAGGGTGGTTACTTGATATAAAATGTACCCTCCAAATTCTTTGAAAAAATCTACCAAAAAGACAAGTCGTGTAGCGTCTATGTTATTCTTAATTACGATGAAATGCTAAAATCGTTTATATCGTGTGCTAAAATGATCAGCTAGAGCTTTATTAAAGTAATAACGAATTTTATTGCTAATAAGAGAAGAAATCTCCTATTACCCTTGTTATTCTTAGGGTAATATGCAAGAATGGCCTTTATTATTTTCACCCATTTGGTGCTAAACAATAAGGATGGTAGTCGGTTGCGCCAACTTAAAACCGTTCCTGCGCCACTAGTATACGAGGTGTGTTCAGAAAATAACGGGAATTGTTAAATTTCGCGGGTTCGGAGGGTCCGGTTGTCATAAAATTTTCTTTATTATGTTGGTATACATGCCCCCGAAGTATGATAAAAACTTTAGCTGTTTTCATTGTTTACGTGTTTTGTGAGCTCGGCGATTTTCGTTCGTTAAAAGAAATGAATCAAAGAATTTGTATCCAAAAATGAAATAAATTCTGTGAAATGTTAACAAAGGCCTATAGTGAGTCTGATATAAGTAAAACAAGGGTTTACAAGTGGTATAAGCGTTTCCAAGATGGCCGTGAAGACGTTGAAGATAACGAACGCCCCGAACGCACAAGCACATTAACAACCGATATGAACATGGAAAAAGTGGAAGAAATGGTTATAAACCATCAGAGAAGTCGCTGATGATGTTAGTATATCGATTGGCTTATGCCATTAAATTTTTTCGAATGTTTTGGGTATGAAACGCGTGGCAGCAAAATTTTTAAATTTTGAACAACATTTTTGGCCAAAAACAATACTGTAATGATGCCCCAGCCTCCATATTCGCCAGACATGCCTCTGTCTGACTTTTTCCTATTCCCAAAAATAAAGAGAACCTTAAAGGGCCGTCGTTTTGCAAGCATAGATGACGTTAAAAGCGCATCGCTGAAAGAACTAAAGGCTATCCCAAAGATCGAGTTTTAGAAGTGTTTCGAGTATTGGAAGAAGAGCTGGCACATGTGCATAATATCCAATGGGGACAATTTTGAAGGCGACAACATTAATGTAAACGAATAAATAAATATTTGTTTCAAAAAACGAAAATTTCCGATATTTTCTGAACACATCTCGTAGACATATTCTGCAAACAAAGTGTGTCGTTACATATCACTATTAGAAATCCGAAAGCATCGTTGATTATAGTTAATGATATATTGGCGTAAAATAATATGCCAATATATAATAGGACCAACCTTGGATAAACATTGGCAAGATATATTAAATTATCATTTTATGCCAATATAGGGCTAACATCGGCTAAATAAATCCAATATTGGCCCCAGATATAATATTGGGCATAGACGCGCCCCATCTCTGATAGCAAAATTTGATTTTAAGAATCTTCTAAGAAGATAGGACCCGGAATAATCGAATATTCTTAGAACCTTCCATTATTGCTAAGAATGTTCTTAGGGACTTTTAAAACATTCAATAGATACCCCTTTAATGATGCAATTAGATTCTTAAAAGCTTCTTAAAACCTTCCTAAAAAGCATCCTAAGAACATTTTAAGAATACGTTTTTGGAATGTTCTTAGAAGGTTTCTTATGGAGCTTCTAGGAAGCTTTTAAGAATATTTCCAAATATGTCAGATACCCACGTTCTAATATGTTGTATTCTACATTCGTAAAATTCTTCAGGAGACGACAAATACGCCTCACTGTCATAATATGACAGTGAATTGTATTTGTCGCCCCCTTAAAAAAATTTGCGACATATTAATATATATTTATTTAAAAATAGTAAATAAACAATTTGACCTCTAAACCATAAGTTGTATGACATTATTTCATAAAAAGTAAAATTGGAAAATTTTGTGGGATGAGTCAGATTAGATTGAAGTTGAAGATAGTTAGGATTATTATACATAAAAATGTTAATTCAGAAATAAAAAATCGGTATACAAATTAATAAATATATATTTTTAACATAAAATAAAATACCTATAGTAAAGTATGTTTATTATCGAATATTGTTTTAATTTGACAAATAACTATAAAAAAATATTTTGGATAGTGTTTTTTACTTAGTATTTAATACTAATTACTAATTAGTATTAAAAACTACTTTATACGTAGTTTATGTTATATTTTACTATTATATAGGTAACTAAACTAAATATGCTTAGCAGGAATATTCCTAAATGAACTTTCTATAGCAATTACTTTCTTAACATTCTATGCACCTTCTAAGAACCTGCATATAGGCCAGTAAGAATATTCTTAGGATCATGCTATATGTCTTTTAAGCATGTTCTTTAGAAGAAATATAGCATGAACCTAAGAATATTCTCACTGGAAGGTTTAAAAAACATTCTTGGAATAAAGTGTGATATCAGGGATATAGGACCAATATTTTGTGCTACTAATAATTAAAAATCATATCATAATTTAATATTATATATTTAAATACTTTGTTATTTTGCAAAATATTGCGCATATTTAAAGTAAATAATAACATTGTTTATTACTTTGATTTATAGACCTGGAAAAACCTAACCGTAATAAAAATAGCTTCCGTTAATACAATTTTTTTTAGATACATTGAAACTATTAATTTAATTATGCCCATTTTAATTAGTGTTAGGTACAAGATAATAGGAATGCTGTCAAAGTCCTTAAACCAAAAATCCAACACTTTTATTTTTTCCGCGCGTAATGCCAATAAACATTTATTTAGCAATGTAATGCATTTCAATTTAATCATGAATTATTCCAAGCAGTTAACGATAACAAATAATTGTAACGTTGTTTTTGCATAGATTATCTTTTACAGTGAATCCAAGAAAATGACGAATTTCTCGCGTGTTTGTCGATAAATAAAGCGTGTATAAAAACAGCCGCCAACTCGATTATTTCAAACGCAGTCAACATGTTATTTGCTACGTTTGTATCATGCGTTCTGATCGGGTCCACTTTGGCCGTTCAGTTTGATATCACCAACAAGGATGGCGGTGAAATTTGGGTCGGGATCCAAGGAAACAGCGGAAAAGCAGCCTTAGAGAACGGCGGATTCAAATTGGGACAAGGACAAACGGTAAATATTTCTGAATTTTCACTTTTTGCTCTAACACTTTAACGTCTCTTAATTTTTGTAAGAAAACATTTTTAAATGATGGGAAAATATTTTTTTTGGTAACAAAAATGCTTTTACCCATAATATAACAAGTGGTATAATTATCATCGATGATATTTGAAACCGAGCTGCAGATTTCACGAGTCCACAGGACGAGTGAAATGTGCTGCTTCGGTTTCAATGAGTAAATATCTTCGATTATTAATCATACCACGAGTTATATTTAGTGAGAAAATACAATGAATTTTAGGATTTAAAAATTTTTTAGATTGACATTTAAAATTAAAATGTGCTTTAAAATATAAAAAGACTTTAATAAACCTTATTAATTCAAACTTACCTTAATTTCATTATCGTTTACACCAACCCATCGATCTTTTAGAGTTTATATTTCATTATTTTATTGATATAATATATTATATCAAACACATATAATATATTATATCAAACACAGAATTTAAATGACAACAAATGTTAAATCAAGAAAAGTGTCAAAATCCTTAGTACCGTGTAAACAAGATGATAAAAAATATTGCCGCTGAGATAAAATGCGTAACTATGGAATGCTGGCATTTTATTGGTTCTAATATTAATGAATTGTATTGTCATATCAAGAATCGTGGTATCACTTTAAAAGTTAAGTAAAAAGAACAAATTCAAAGAATGTAAAAATTTTTAATAGGTCCAACTTAAAAATATATTTTTCTACTCCCACCTTTAAAACGACCATTATCGTACATCTTTCCATGACACTAAGTGACCTTTTAAATACGCATTGACAAGTTGTGGCTTTATGGCGCTTTAGTCACGGGCTGAAGTTAGCAACAGGTATTTAGTCACAGGCTGAAGTTAGTTTTAAGTTAGTTGACAGTTGTCAAATGTCATACAATCGTTAAAATAAAGTACCTTACTTTTAAAATAATGCTAAATGTGAAAATTATTTTATTATCTCAATACTAAAAAAACCAAAGTATTAAATAGTTTCTCAACGCCAATATTTGAAAAGTTTACCTATATGAACATTGTACTGACCTTTTACTTTCGCCGGCAGTAAACTATAACTTAAATTCGGCACGGACTCCACTGTAAAGTGCTCATAAAACATTTTCTTTACTTTCACTGTGAAACACTGTCAATTTTCAAGAAATAATTTTATATTTATAACCTTCATAAATGTGACATTTGACGGTGACACACAGATTTCCCTATTGTTTCATAGATGGCGCTCTATAAAAATATTTGATTTAAATCATTTTAAGATAATAATAAGTATTTGTCGTAGAAAAGTATAGTATGCACCTCGTTTATAAACTTTTCTATACACTCATTAATTTAAGCACTCGCTCGCAAGCTCGCTCGTGCCTAAATTAAATTCGTGTATAAAATGGCGTTTAACAAACTTGATACATAATATACTATTATCTATTCTTACGTTGACGATCTGTGACTTTATGGCGATTTTAAGTTATCAATAGTGGCTTTTGGGCGGGTTAAAGTTAGCATTATTATAAATTTGGAAAAAGTGAGGTTAAATCCGGGTGACAGTTGACAGATGCCAAATTTGCACGACAGTTATCTTAAAAACAATGCAAGCGGCAAAGTTGTGGTGAATGCACGTATAGTTCCATTCAAAATTTCAGTACTGTGGTGAGTGTTTATTTTCTTACAAATATATATGTATTTCATTGTATAAGGCTATATGTGATTTGTTGATAAGTAGCATCCACTAATAAAGAATATCAGTAAAATACTTAATTCCGAATTATAATCTCAATTGAGATTATAATTCGGAATTAAGTATTTTACTGATATTCTTTATTAGTGGATGCTACTTATCAACAAATCACATATAGCCTTAAATTTAAATTTGTATCCAATTCATTAGTACTGTGTCGTCAGTTCCATGTTCGATGTTTCGGTTATCTTTTTTTCGCAAACTTCAATTTAAATTCAGCTTGCGCAGAACTTGTTTATTTAATGTCATTATAAACTCATATAAATTTGGTGTGGGTCCCATGTCTAATAATTGAGATATAGGTTTACCCAAAATCCACCAGCCGCCACTGATGTGTGGTATTATTTGATTTTAAGATATTTAATTTATAATGTGTTCAAAGTTGCAATAAATCTTATATTTTCCAATTATGTATTTAACTAGTACCCTGGTATACCCTTGCATTTAAATTTAGAAAACACAGATATTTCAGAAACTTTTTGAAAAACTGACTGGCCCGGTCTGAAACAGTATATTTATTATATTATATATGTTCTCATAACAAAATACTGTTTAATTTTCTCCGAAAACTATATAAACAAAATGAGGTCAAAAGTTGCCCAATTTTTATAGAATCACCCATATATTTATTTTTATTATAAATGATTGTAACAATATTTTTTTTTTTATTAATTAAATATATTTTCTCACTTTCAGAGATCCGTACAAGCCCCTAACGACTGGGCAGGCAGATTCTGGTCCAGACAATGGTGTGACTCCGGCAATGGGCAATGTGTAGTAGGAAACTGTAATGGAGTGGAATGCCAAGGCAGAGGAGGCAACCCCCCAGTCACTCTGATCGAAATCACTCTGGCCGGTTGGGGAGGTCAAGATTTCTACGACATCTCATTGGTCGATGGCTATAGTTGCCCAGCTACTGTAAGTTGAATTCTCTAAATAAATGATATCCACACTGTTTAAAATATCTGTGGTGTGAAGAGTAATCTTAAAATGGTGTCAAAATCCAACACCAAGTGGTGTTAATATAACACCATGAATTATGGTTGAAAATGTTTTATACACCAAAACGGTGTTTATTTAAAAATATTTGAGAAGTGCACCTACTAAAAAAAGGAATGGTTCATTTAACTATATTAATTTAGTTGACCCATAAGTATTTATTTAAATCAACTGTGGGAAGGTTAATATAAACAAAGATTAGTTTGACGGTACTAAACCAGATAGTTATTTTATTTTTTTTTTAATTGGTTAAATTAACCCAGAAAACTTTAGTAAAACCAACCCGCTGTATGGTTCAGTTTACTAAATATGTTGTTTGTAAAATAAGAGTTACTTCAACCTAAAGCACTCTGTTAAAACGATTAAAACAATTTGCCGTGCATTCCTGGTTGCATAGTGTGTACCGATCGCGGCAAAGGCGGTGTGGATCACGTGATGTTCTTAAATCTCGCCTCTGTTGACTTACATAAAGAGTATATAAGCTCAGGTAGTCCTTTGCTTGCTACAAGAGACCTTAAATAGGTGGAAACAGCTGTCAATACTTGAAGTATTTTAAGTTGGTGGAACGCACTAAAAACATTATCTCTAGCGAGTTGAAGGTTCAATTTTCTGGACTAATACCACTGGTAACATACTTGTAATGCGTCAAGGAACTTCCTGTTTCCTTTTTTTCCTTTTTTTCTGTGTAGTATGATTTAAATTGACCAAAAACACATTATATTTAACACTGAAAAGGAGTTCAATGTACACCAGGTAAAATTTATTTTAATACTCTGTGAAAGTTAAATTTACACCATTTTAGTATTTGAATTTACACTGGACCAACGAACCATATTTAACACCATTTTGGTTTGTATCGATATAGACCATGTATGGTGTTAATTTGGTGTTAAAATGGTCGTGAAATGATGAAATAAAGTTCTTCCTTGAGTAGTTTAATCGTATCAGGATAGTTCTTGCATTCCAAAATGTATTCCAAAAAATTAAAACTTATTTTTAGATTACCCCAATTGGTGGTCAAGGAAAATGCAGAGCACTAAAATGTCTTGCTCGTATCAACGACCAATGCCCGAACGATTTGAAGGTAAACACTCAGCATGGCGTTCTTGGATGTAAATCGGCCTGCTTGCGTTTCAACACGGACCAATACTGCTGCAGAGGAGCTTATGGTACCAAAGAAACCTGTAAAACCGATCAATGGGCTGTCAACTCGGCCAAATTCTTCAAACAGCAATGCCCAGATGCTTACAGCTATGCCTATGATGATGACACCAGTACCTTTACTTGCAAGGCTCAGAAATACGCCCTCACCTTTGGAGGTTAAACTGTACAATAGTACAAAATGTGTAGAAAAGAATTATATTTTTTAATAAATCAACAAATTGTTCATATTTAAAACCATTATCCACTACTTATTTTTTCCTGCCATACAGAACTCTTTTAAATATAAAGTGTGTCAAACATTAAAAATTAAAATTATCCATTAAGAATATAATGGACTTGGAATGATTCGGTTTAGTATTTTCATAAAAAATATTACCAAGAAAAGGCAATTAATACAAAAGTTAATATTATTGCTACTGTACAGGGTGATCCCCTATAATGTCGCCCCCCTTTAACTTTTTTATTTAGTGTCCCAAAAAATTTAAAAGTGTGGTTATGTAGGAACTATAGTATGATCCATTGAAAAAAAATAAACTTTTTGTTTTTCCCTGTATATTGATCAATTTTCTTTAAAAGTAGAAAAAAAGTATTTTTTAGTTCCTACATAACCACACTTTTAAATTTTTTGGGACACTAAATAAAAAAGTTATATAGTATAAAGTATAAAAGTATATATATATGAATTTATTTTTAGATTCCTTGTAAAATTCTGAGCATAATTCATATAACAAACCATATCCTAAATTCATCTGTTTTTGAAATATTCGCATTCGAAATGTTATCATTAAATGGTTTTTTAAACTGTTAGAAATCAAGAAGCATCAGTATACCAAAATTTTTATTGAAAATAAATTATTATAGTGTCAATATGTCTTGTTAAATAAGTAAAAATGGCCTACTCAGACAGAGAAAGACAAACTATTTCAACTAATATCTTAAAAATAATTTTATTATTTCAGAAACGGTTGAATTTAGGTATATGGTTTGTATATAAATTATGCTCAGAATTTTACAAGGAATCTAAAAATAAATTCAAATATAGGGTGATCCATTGAAAAAAAATAAACTTTTTGTTTTTCCCTGTATACTGATCAATTTTCCAATTTTCTTTATACGTAGAAAAAAAGTATTTTTTAGTTCCTACATAATCACACTTTTAAATTTTTTGGGACACTTAAAATAAAAAAGTTAAAGGGGGGCGACATTATAGGGGATCACCCTGTACATTAATAACATAAGTATCATCGACTTAAGTTAACACAATTAAAGTAAGCAATATTATCATTGCTGAGATTATTCAACTACATAAAATAAATAGAAATAATTATCAATGTACAGCAACAAACAACAATATTATGAAATATAAAGTATAATATAACTTAGGTCACAAACAACAATAATAAATGGCAGTGGTAAATAAAATAGTATGTAAATAACAAGTGGTACAGAAGTGGACAACGGTAATGCAATTTAATTGTACAATCATAAATAACAAATACAATCAGGTATAATAAAGTACCTACCTAATAAAATTATGTCAGAGCAAATCAAATATAGCAAATTAAAATGATTATCAATAATAATAAAATAAAACAATGTCACAAAAACTCTCATTATGGGCCCTACCTAACATTCATTGTTAGCGTCATACGGCTACTGAAGCCACTCTCTAGGAAGAAATATTGTAAAATAATACTAAGCCATTTAAGTCAATTTATTATTCAGCACTTAACTTAATAATGATTTAAGTTTTAACATACTTCTTCAATTCCTTTCTACGTAAACACAAAACAAACAACTTTACATGCATGTACACATACACATTGGAATTAAACATCATCCTTTACATAAGTCAGTATTGATGCGCAAGCAACATGTCAGAGTTAAGTATTAAAATTTACGAACTTTTCGAAATACTTACAATCAGAGGAAGATGAACTGAAAAATAGAATTTCTACTGCTACTGATACAGGTAGCATCGAGTTATCTGAAGGCACTATATAGCCACTGTTAAAGAAACATTAAAACGCATAACAACGGCAGTTTGAAAAAATTCAGGATGAAAGTGAGAAAATAGTAATTGAGCAGATATCGATAGCACTTACCTTGATTTATATAGGGGGAACAGGGGGTAACTTTAACATTAATACATTAATTTCAATATTTTCTGTTGCTCGACGAACTCTTTTTTCCAGTTGAACACTCCCGTTTGTAGTAAACTGCTTGACTGTACGGTGAAATGAAGTACGTGATCGAATTTTATCCGGAAAACGCTGAGCGTAGATATTAACAGCATCATCAAGATTCCTGCCTGCTTCTCCATAAATCAAAATCACTTCTATTTTTTTTCCACTGTTAGAAAATCCATTATAAATAACTGCTTAACGAAAGGAGGTCTTTTTGTTTGCAAATTAATCTTCGAACTAAATTGATTAAATAATGCTAAATAGTTTCTTTATCCCTCAATAATAATTATTATTTATAGCTAAATACCATTTTTTTATACCTCAATTAGGATTAAATTCATTAATTGACAAAATAATGTTTTTTTACCTTAAATGAGGTATTTTTATTAAAAATAGTACAATAATCCTTTAAATTAAAGGATTTAATGCTGGCAGGTAAAAAGTGACCATGGTGCGCAATTGATAATTATCACCGAATGAAATAATGTATAAAACTCAAACCAAAGGAAACTTAAATATTAGTTAAAAAATCGTGGGTACTTAAACAAATCAGATTTAATTTAATAATATAATTATTACCAAATAAGTGATATTTTTATAGAAAAATTATTGCAGAATCGTATACAGAAGAAAAATCGAACAAAATTGATTTTTTTTCATTACAGCGCCATCTATTACAAATATGAAAAAATGTTTTAGACAAAATCTACCTATTTTTAGTCGAATGATCCGAATCTGCAATAAAAAATAGGGTGTTCTATTGGAAATTTTAAAGTTACCCCCTGTTCCCCCTATAAGGAGGAAAGTATGAGGACCAATTTTAGTACTGATTGATTTCCCCCCTCGAATCATTTAATTTTTTTTAAACATTTTTTCGTAAAATGCATACTAACTGGAATATTTCAAAGTTTCAAGTTAATTGAGTACAATATTTTTAGTAAGTATATTTTAATTTTAAAAACTAAGAAACAACATGTCCGAATTGGTGGTCTAAAAAAAATCTAATTGATTGATTTGAACTGATAAATTAGATATAATTGGCACAGTCAAAAATATCCTAAATTTTAGTTAAATTAAATTTAAAAAAAGATACAAACAATTATAATTACCTATTTTCCTTATTAAAATTGCTTTAAATGCAATAATTAAAAAGTTTTGCATTCTTTATTTTTTATATATTTCCATAGTTTTAAATATAAAAGCACCAACATTTATTTTATGAAAACTCAGTTCATAACGTTTACCTATAAATAATAGGTTATTATGTATTTTAAATACTGTTTTTGTTTTATGGCGGTCTTTTTACTTATTGGTAAGTAAATATTTTAGAGGCGTATTTTTTTTACAAAATTTCTGATTTTTAGACTTGGCTTCATGTAGCTTAGATTGGGACAAATCCAAAGAACTCAGGTAAGAATATTTTTTTAAAAATCTACACGTGTAAAACTTTATTTTTATTAAAAAAAAATATTTAAAACTGATTGAAGCAAAATCAATTTATTCGCATTTGAAAAAAATCTTGAAGATTAACTTCTCTGGATTGATGGCAAGGAGCTTTAAATTTTAATGGTTTGAGAAAAGAATTATTTGGAAATGGTTGCACCAGTGGCGTAACAAATTCTGAGTGGGCCCCCCGAAAAAGATTTTAATGGGCCCCTTTACAATGAGTAAAAAGTTTATTATTTCCATTAGGTAATTTTTAAATTAGTACTTTTAAACCCACATTATATACATTATATTTTTTAAATTTTTACAGGTAGGTATAGAGTGTATACGATAGACAAACATAAGATAAGCAAATAAAAAAGGATCTGCAATTTTTGGTAGGAAAACGAAAAATATTTAATTAATTTTAGTTTAAAAATATCTTATTCTATATAGCTTTTTACGGAAGCGTAGAAGGGCCACACTTTTTTTTTTTAAATATTCTCGCTTATAACTCGGAATTCCGACTTATAACTCGGAATTCCGACTTATAACTCGGGATTCCGACTCGGAACACTAACGAACACCTACGAACACTTACGAACACACCCACGAACACTCACGAACACACCCACGAACACTCACGAACAAATACGCACACTAACGAACAAATACGAACACACCAACGAACACTCACGAACACCCACGAACACACACGAACACTCACAAACACTCACGAACACTTACAAACAAATACGAACACAACCACGAACACTCACGAACACTCACGAACACACACGAACACTCACAAACACACCCACGAACACACCCACGAGCACACCCACGAAAACTCACGAAAACACCCACGAACACTCACGTTCGTAGGTGTTCGTATGTGTTCGTGGGTGTTTTCGTGAGTGTTCGTGGGTGTGTTCGTGGGTGTGTTCATAAGTGTTCGTGGGTGTTCGTAAGTGTTCGTGGGTGTGTTCATAAGTGTTCGTGAGTGTTCGTATGTGTTCGTGGGTGTTGGAGGGTGTTCGTAAGTGTGTTCGTGAGTGTTCGTGGGTGTTCGTGGGTGTTCTTGGGTGTGTTCGTGAGTGTTCGTGGGTGTGTTCGTGAGTGTTCGTGGGTGTGTTCGTGAGTGTTCGTAGGTGTTCGTGGTTGTTCGCGGGTGTGTTCGTGAGTGTTTGTAAGTGTTCGTGGGTGTTCATGGGTGTTCGTGGGTGTTTGTGGGTGTGTTCGTAAGTGTTCGTAGGTGTTTGTAAGTGTTCGTTGGTGTTCCGAGTTATAAGTCAGAATTCTGAGATATAAGTGAGAATTCCGAGTTATAAGAGAGAATTTCGAGTTATAAGTCGGAATTCCGAGTTATAAGTCGGAATTCCGAGTTATAAGTCGGAATTCCGAGTTATAAGTCGGAATTCCGAGTTATAGGTCGGAATTCCGAGTTATAAGTCGGAATTCCGAGTTATAAGTCGGAATTCCGAGTTATAAGTCGTAACGTATTTAAAAAAAAAGTGTGGCCCTTCTACGCTTCCGTAGCTTTTTATATGCAGGATCATTTTCGTAATTTTATAACATATAATATAATATCTTATTAAGATTATTAAAAAAAAATATTTAAATAAT